AGATAACTTGTATTGATCTGCATGGATCGTATCCCAAGTCAAATGACTCTTACCTTTGATGAAAAGGTGTACAGCACTCAGGGTTTGCCCTGCAGTGTTTGAGGCAGAACAGACATAAACTCCATTGTCCTGTTGTTTGCAGTAGAGAACTTTAAGTGTGAAGTAACCCTCTCTGTCTTCATACAAAAGATACCGTCTCCCAGACAAGATAAGTCTCCCATCTTTCCTCCATAATATTTCTGTCTGATGGGTCTCCCTTAGTTCTGTTCCATCTTTGTACCAATGAATGTCCATTTCCTCCTCCTCCACTTCCACACAGAAGGCTGCATTTTCCCCCTCCAGAACGTCAACTTTTCGTGGCAGCTTTCTTACAATGGTACCTTCAAGAGCAAGTTTACATTAAGTACATCAAGGGTACATTTCATTTAAGTTAATTAAGTTATACAGCTGCAGGCAGAAGTTGTTGATGTTTTTTTTTTTTTTTACCTTTGACTGCTACCTCAGCAATGCTTCTGCCCCCATCAGCCATCTCACAGAGATATATCCCATCGTCATCAACTGCAATATCACGAATTGTGAGTCGTCGCTTTGTCCCCCACTCCTCCATCCCATATTTGGCTCCAGGCTGTAGTCGTCTGTCTTCTAAGTACCACGTGATTGGAACAGAGTCCTCAGGAACTTCACACTCAAGAACAGCCAAGTCTCTCTCCCATACTTGCAAGTCATTAAGTGGTTGCTTAAATCGGACAGGTGGCTCTGTTGTTACAAGATGGAAAGAGCCCAAAAAGGAAAGTTCTTAAAATGTGTTTTTTATGTCAGTAATGGATAGATCTGCATTATCTCTGCAGAGATGCAGTTGCAAAATATCAAATACCTACCCCGCTAACAATGACCAGCGTATGTTATGTTTTGGATTGTGATGTGCTTGATGTCCTCATCATGCTTTTTAACTAACTAACTAACTAACTAACTAACTGACTAACTAACCAACCATCAAGACTGCCTTGATAGACCAGCTTCAACCAGAAAGACCATGATTTGCATATATTAGCCTCGACCAGCATAGATATTCATGCTTAGAAATTCAAAGTATTTCCTAATGTGTTAATGAGGTAATCTAAAATCAGTAATGATGTTGTTTTCATACTGTTATACTATTACATTTAAGAAAGTAATTGGTATACTAGTTATACTGAAATGAATATTTTGTCTAATGTTCTTGTTTAAAATATCTACTTGAGAAGCAACCCTGCATAAGATTTAAAAAAAGTGGGAAAAATTCCAAAAATTTGCCGGTGCAGTTAAGCTTACCTTCAAGATAAAATTCATGAAAACTTATGATTTAACATTTTAGAAATGTTGTTTCTTATGATCTTTTTCATGTTTTGTCTTTTTTATTGTACCTTACTAAAAAGTATATAGCTTTAAGAATTATGTCTTACAGAGTATATGATATCCCTGACAGTATTATAATAATTATTTTTGTCTTGTTAATACTTGCTTTAGTAGTCATACCTTCAGTTTAGACCTGGTGACTTGAAAGCCTTTTGAGCTTTATGGAGTTGCCTGGCTCTGATACAATATAGTCATGCAAAGCAATCAGTTTTGACTGTTTGATGGTCCATGTGAGAAATATGAGCTTGCCTCCAGAGATTTCTATCACATGTGTGAGCCTCAGGCCTTTCAAAGCCTAAGTGACTTTGCAGATATAGGACTGGGTGGAATCTATTTCATGTTAATGAGTTTGGCCAGGTCAGGTAATTTTAAAGCTCCCTTGATGCATTTCATACAACTAAATCATCATAAAAGTAACCGTTGATTAGAGTACCAAATGCTCAACACAACAGATGGCAACTGGATCCTTAATTGTACAGGCCATATTAAGTTTATGCCAAATTTCTATATACTGTATATATATATATAGAAACTTTGCATGTTTCCCTTCTGTCACTGCAAACATTTTCACTTTGGCTGAGTTTGGCAGTGGGTCATCTTTCAGCCTTGTCGCAACCTGCCTACCACTTCTCTGTTTTCCCTGATGTGCTTTCCAGTGGCCATTAGTGTATCCATTACGGTTCCCTTCATCTTCATGTCCTGGTCCAGCATCCACCAACAGCACAGCCCCTGCCAGACTCTCTCCAAATTCATTCCTGGCCTTACATGTGTACACCCCTCCATCTGGTGCTCTTGTCTTGAAAATCTTTAGTTGGAACCATCCTCCATCCTGATAGCTGATGGCGAAATGTGTGCTTTCAAAGATCTCATTCAACTTCTTGCCATCCTTCTCCCACATCACTTCTGGTCTAGGGTTTCCCCACAGCTTACAGGAGAACACGGCATCCTCTCCTCGTCCAACTCTAGTCGAGAGGGGCTTGATGAGGAAGCGGGGCTTGTTTTCCTCCCGAAATTCCATCTCCTGTGCTTCACCTTCTACTTTCAAAGTGGCTGCTGCGTAAGTCTCTCCAATGCAGTTCTTGGCCTTGCAGATGTATTGCCCGCTGTCCTCCATTGTCACAGAAGTTATGATAAGGTTATAGACATTGCCATCCTCAAACACCCGGTATCTGCCCTCTGCATGAATCTTCTCATTGTTTCTCTCCCATATAACTGCTGGTCTGGGATCCCCGCCAATCTGGCATTTCAGAACTGCATCTGTGCCACTTTGTACTACCACAGGACGAGGGTAGGCCAGGAACCGTGGCGCTCCTCCAAACACATCCATCCCTGCTCACTTGCCAACCTCCACTCAGATTGACAGGCTACAGGCATTCAGTCTCTATATTACTTTGGAAGAATTTTATTGTCCGGCTGTTTATCAAGTCTCTGAAAGAAAATTACATTTAATTCATGCTCTGATAATAACCAACAGTTTCATACATTATTTATATAATACATACAGTATGTGCTATAAATATCAAGTTGAATGCCTTTTAAATTCCAGTCAAAATCCTGAATTTGAATTGAGGTAGCAAACAGGATGCAGAATTATGCATGTTAAAGAAATCCATATGACTACATTTTTAACTAGGAGGAAATTTGAACGTTCACCAATATCTATATAATCAGTCAGACAGTAAATCATTGAATTGAAATGAAATTAATGAATGTACAGAATGTGTGGTTTTTCAGCAATTTGTCAGTACTCATTACAGATGAATACAACTTTATTTGCTCATTTATATACATGTAAATCATAATTATTATATTTTTCATTCTACTTAAAAGCAGAAGTAGATTTGGCACTGGATCTGACAAATTACTTCTGCCATCATTTACTAAAGTAATATAGTTCAGTGTTTGTTCGACTTTACCTGTTCATAGCATTAATTGTCTAACTGTATTTGTCTTTTCAGAAAATGAAAAATGAACAACCAAACTTTTCATGTCCCAATAATTTTGAAAAACTGCTTCAGCTATTTCTCAAATTGTCAACAATCTGCTAAATTATACAGGCTCATTAAAAACTAATTGAGTTTTGGTATGTGTACTAACAACATTTGATGGTGTAGGCTCTCCTCAGAGAGAAAGGCTTCTAGTACACCAGAGTATTAATGGCCAGAACTTTCTTAGATATTATGCCTTGTGTGAGAAGTGGTGAAACATCTTTTAGCCATACTGCAACAGCGACCACAACACATAACTAACACAGCTGGTGCTGTATTTCAATGGGAACGTGCTTTATATAGTATGCCCTAAATAAAGACCTGTGAGAGGGCATGTGTCAGGTATCACAAAGCACACTACAGAGCACGCGTGCACATACAACACAGGTCTCACACACTCACACAGGACACACCCCATGGGGACCTCTCAGTCAAATATGCTATGCCTCTCTCACACTCCTTTTAGCAAATGCAGTGACAAATTTAGGTGTTAAATGTCATTGTCAAAATTAGTTTGTTTGTCATTCGTTTCAAGAAAGAAACACTTGCTCTGTACTTTTAAGTGATATCTTCCTCTGAAAATATCCTCTGTTGCATATGAAGCAATCCAGACCATGTTGGTTTAATATGCCCTTATATGATTTTTTTTATGTGTGGCTTCTCAATTTCAATCATGCTGCATGTTTGGCCTCTGAAGTGTTTATACGCCAGAGCTAGTTTATCTGTTTTAGGATGGCAGAACACATGAATCGCTAGTCCTGGGAATCTATGACGCACAGCGAACTTCAGGAAAACGATCTGGTGTCCTCTTCAGAACCTTAAACATCTGCTGGTTATTCATCATGCTACACATTGAGGTTTGTGCTACGCTACAAACAAGAGAACAACACATGATATAAGTAACACAAAAACTACCTTATAAAAATCTCCCTAGAGCACACTAACCCTATTACTATATACTCTATATATCCACTGCAAAGTGTATATACTGTATTGTCCGAATGAAGAAAACAGGTGTTCAGATGTTCCGTGATAAAGTCAACATTAAAGAACTCGTATCAGAAAGAAACAAACAGGGAAGATACTCTTATTATATCACCAATTGGAATTAATGTTAAAGGTTTAAATGTATAGCATCGACAATTTCCCTTAGGACTTTCAAAGGAGATTAACCTCCTGTTTGTGCTCCTAATTTAATTAGACTGACCTTTGACCTCAGGGAAACTGCACTTTGTAACAAACATATCCTACCTCTCTTTAGTCCTTAGAGACAACTGTCAATATGCATTCCGTGGCAACCAGCTTCTCCTGCTTCACTGGCCCTCACTTCCAGCGGTAGTGTTTTTTTTAAAAGAATAATCCTTTTCCACTTTGGTAAATTTGTTGCGGTAAGTCCTCCTCATTAACATCTAGCCAGTGTCACCTGCCCATTATGCCAAAGCTTTTACATGCCCCTTTTAAGATGATTTTAGCCTGATCAGACAGCTTTCCTTTGAACGCTCCAGCAGTCCCACAATCTCTGTGGCGTTTAGTCCTGAGACACCCCTAGTGTCATTGTTCGTAGAAGTCCGTTAAATGCTTTTGCAGCTGCTGCTGTCCCCTAAAAATACTGGCAGCCTCGATGACAGCAGTGAAGATAAGTCAGGCTCTCCATTCACTTGCTCGCAGTGGCTAAAGATAGGTTGGATGGCTCGTCCTGAGCAGATTGCTTGACTTACTTGAGACCTTGCAATAAAACTTAAAGAGAAGGGCAGTAGCCTTCTGGCCTCCTGAAAACTTTCAGCATTTAGTTGAATGTTCAGATCTTTTTGTTTGTGGCATCAGTGCCAGCGTGGCCATCCAAAAGCATTCAGAGACTGCAGAGGATTCCTGGTAATGGCCATAATTTTATGGGATCTGTCATCAGCCTTAGCAGAGGTGTAGCCCTTCAAATTACTAAGACAAGTATGCTGATCACACGTACTCTGGCCTGTTTAAAAACAACGACAACAACATTTGATGCAACTGGTGTGACATAGCCGATAGTGTTATTTCGAAATGCATAATGCATTTAATTGTCAGAGAAGGTACAGCGAATTGTCCTTAAATAAACTGAGAAACTGTGAAATGCCTTTGTGGAAATATCTAAAAACGAAGCGTTCAAAGAACAGATCCAGAGGGGAGTTGCATGCACGCCTGATTCGGCTTATGAATGTGTGAGGGTGAACACAGAGAGCAGTGACCCCTCAGCTGTTTAGAGGCTCACGTCTCACAGGCTCAACGCTGCCTCCTCTGATTTCAGCCATTGGAAGTAATCTGATCTTACCCTGAACCCTGAAACCAGCATCCTGGCAATGAAACGGTTTGTACAAGCCACTTTGTGAAAACCTGCAGGGATTAGCGGTCCTCTTTTTGAAACATCCAAATTCCACCAGCTGCTAAAGAAGATATTAGCAAGTGCGTCGTTTCTTTATGTGTTGCAACCTGTTGCAATATGGACTGTGCAAAAGGAATAATTGTAAAAACAACATTTGAGAATCTGTTAATAGCTATGCTTTGCTGATAAAGACCCGGTGAAATCACAAGACAAGCCCAGTTGTCTTCCATGTTGACGTATTTTCCGTTAAAACAAGAAGTTTGAGTAAAAGCTTTCTTTATGAATGTGATTTGCTACTTACCAACCAGATGCAGGTGTATAGGGTCATCAATACATGTGGCCTGTTTTTTTTGGTAGAAAAAGAATGAAATTTAAATACACGTTATTTGAAGAGAGTTAATTTTGTTGACATTTAGAAGTATTGTACAGTATAGCATAAGCTCATAGATGTAAATTTCACTTTTGATACCTTCTATATGAGACCTGGAACTTGTAGATGTTTTGTAGATAAGTTGAATAAGCCTGAATTCGCCATCAGTTGTATACAGTATAACCCCCTTTTTTGTAGCTTATGTTTGAAATAAGTAGTAGAAATGTCTTTATATTTCAACTTTGTTTGCTGTTGCAATATGATAAAAATAAATAACAATTTGTTATTTATAGTGGTTTGATAATGGCAAGTGTAAGTGCTTCTCTGGAGAGCACTAAACAGCTCTCTCCTTCCCTCTGCAGGCAGGAGAACTGCTACAGCTGTCAATACCCAGTTAGCTTATTTTAAAGACTCCTTATTCACATGCCGTCTTAACAATTTTGTCTAAAACCTTTTACCTCATGATTCCAAATAATAAAATAAGAATCTGTCTGTCCCCAATAATCAGTCATTTCTTTTCTAGTTAGACCTACATATCAAACTACAATCAAGAAATGAATGTCGTTCATAGACAAAACATATATAACTTTCAATTTTAATTGTTCAGTACTCTATTATTGCAGTTATTCTGCTGAATGTGTTTAATCACGGTACTGCTGCTGGGAGTATCTTTTATAATTTGTCTCTAACATTTTTGTTTCTTTTCCAAAACTAGTGTACTTACATGGCCTTTTTACAGAGGAGACAACAGTTTTACTGAAGAGCAAGAGAAAAAGAAAAATCAAGGTAAATATTGCTTTTTAACAGTTAATAATAATAAATGTTTGTAATTTCAATCAAATTTTCTGAGATCATGCATAAATTGTGAAAATATTATTTAGGGTTTAGCAATACATTAGCCATTTTATTCCAAACAATAAATAATTTTTGATGTGGGGAAATGTTATTGACTTAATTACAGAATGTATTACTGTAAGATCTAAGACTTTTTCTATGTACACAAAAGGCCTATTTCTCTCAAATATTGTTCACAAATCTGTCTAAATCTGTGTTAGTGAGCACTTCTCCTTTGCCTAGATAATCCATCCACCTCACAGGTGTGGCATATCAAGATGCTGATTAGACAGCATGATTATTGCACAGGCTGGCACATTGCACATTGCCTTAGGCTGGCCACAATAAAAGGCAACTCTAAAATGTGCAGTTTTATCACACAGCACAATGCCACAGATGTCGCAAGTTTTGAGGGAGCGTGCAATTGGCATGCTGACTGCAGGAATGTCCACCAGAGCTGTTGCCCGTGAATTGAATGTTCATTTCTCTACCATAAGCCGTCTCCAAAGTCTTTTAAAAGAATTTGGCAGTACATCCAAACGGCCTCACAACCGCAGACCACGTGTAACCACACCAGCCCAGGACCTACACATCCAGCATCTTCACCTCCAAGATCATCTGAGACCAGCCACCCGAACAGCTGCTGCAACAATCGGTTTGCATAACCAAAGAATTTCTGCACAAACTATCAGAACACCTGTGCAATAATCATGCTGTCTAATCAGCATCTTGATATGCCACACCTGTGAGGTGGATGGATTATCTCGGCAAAGGAGAAGTGCTCACTAACACAGATTTAGACAGATTTGTGAACAATATTTGAGAGAAATAGGCCTTTTGTGTACATAGAAAAATTCTTAGATCTTTGAGTTCAGCTCATGAAAAATGGGGGCAAAAACGAAAGTGTTGCGTTTATCATTTTGTTCAGTGTATATATATATATATATATATATATATATATATAATATACAATATAATATGCAGTCGGCAGATTTTCATGGGTGTAAATGATCTGATGAATAACTCTTTTGACGTTTCATGGGATGGAATAAGCTGATAAACTACTAAATGTAAAGCACAGATAGTTTCCCCAGGCTCCAAATACTTTCTCAGATTGCCTTCTGAAACATGAACGGACATGAATGCTGAATGTGTAAAGCAGCACATCTTTAGCAAAGGATGTCAGAATACCAAGAAAATGTCTGATTATTTGCGAAAATATGCATGTCTCTCCCATTCATTGCACTTCTGTTGCAGGTGAGCACGCTTGACTTTGACATTGTTCAAAGCACTGTGTGAAAGAATGTTCTAGGCGACGTGCTGAAGGTAATTGAAAAAATGTACTCGATTTGTTTTTGACGATCTAGTGATGCGATCGTTTCTCTTGCTGTCATTTCATGCATTTTAGACACTGGAGACGTGACAGCGTGACAGCGTTTACCTGTGTATCGCTAAGTCAGAGTGACATAAACCTGGCATGACCTCTCAGTTTCCATAGGTGCAAAGCCATCTATTTTCACTATTTGTTTTTCCTACATCTACCTCACTGTTTCCTCATGATTTCAAATTGAGCCTGGCAAGTCTATTCCTATACGACCTCGCTGATCTACAGCAGAGCCAAGCTGTCTTTTAATATTACTACCTCTACAAATCGCAAGAGCACAAAAATTAATCCTGCTGTTCTACTGTGTTGAAAGAAAACAGTTGATGCATATATATCAGACAATTGCACAGCCCTAGCGATTCGAATGAATTCACACAAGGTTTAGAATGCTGCCTGGATACTAAATGCCTATAGTGCCCTGTCTCTACTTGCTTGTTTTTTTTTTTTTTTTGCCAGGAAACATTTCAGCTGGAAGGTGTCTGTCTGATCCGAGTCATTACGAACTGTCTGCCTTAGTTATTCGTTTGTTTAAACATGTTCACATTTAAAGCACAGTCTCTTTAATCTGAATAAAGATTAATGTTTAGTACACTGTAGGTAAAGTAGGCCAGATTGTTCACAAATGAAGAATTGATAGTCTTGCAGTTCATTTGGCAGCCACTTTGTGGTGATAAAGAATCAGTAGCTATGCAGTAGTTGTCAGACTTTGTCAGTCCTTCCTTTGGTCAGTCTTTTAATGGTCTTGCTTCATTCTTTTATTTTATTCTAAATTTCATTGTTGCTTGTTTTATAGGAGACATATTCAATAGAAAACACTTTCTTTAAATAATCCTTTAACTTTTCAGAAAGATTTAAGTGTAACACTTCACAATAAGGTTAATTAACTTAATGCTTTTGCATTTTAATGGCATTTATTAATCTATCTTATAATATATGTATATTATAAAATATAAGTATTACAAATAATAAGTTTCAGGATTAATTCACAAATCATGTTTAAATTAAATTAACTAATGCTAATGTCTGTGACCTGAAATATCATGTATTAGCATATATAGAAATCAACATTAACCTTAACTAATAAATTATGTAAAAGCCTTGTACCTCGTGGTACCATCACAAAGAGGCACAAAATCACTTTCCAGAACATTTTCGTTTACCGTTCCTGGCTGGTGGAATGATCTTCCAAATCTTTTTCTCTTTTCTTTCATCTTTCTCTGTCTAGCTTGTACTTATTTGAACAATGCTTGGAACTTGGTATGTCGAGCACTTCCTGTGTCTATTTGCCTCTTTAAGATGAATCGCTTGATGTATTCCCCAATTGTAAGTCGCTTTGGATAAAAACGTCTGCTAAATGAATAAATGTAAATGTAAAAATACTGTTCATTGTTAGTTCAGGAAACCTAGTAATGTATATTAACCAATGTTAACAAGCTGTAGTATATAGCCAGGTTAATAATAGAAAGGATCTGTCTATTTATCTATTATATCTTTCTGATGAAATAACTATAAGTTTAATTCCCTATATTGCTTGTTGCAATTTGTATATTTAATAGTTCATTTGTTGCCAATGCATGGCTTCTACTCTTACAGGTGGAAGATGACCTGAATGGAAGCTGTCAGGCATTTTGATGGCCTTGTGAG